CGCACGGTGCAGTCACCCGTCGTCCAGTCGATTCGCGGATTGTGTCGTCGCAGCCAATCACGCCCGAGTAAAATATCGGTTCCGTCGAGGGTCGTTGCGAGCATTTCCTGGCTAAACGTGAAGTTACCCCCGCACCGAATCCGGACTCGGTCTACGCGTTCCCGTATTGCCAGCGGCGTGCCGTCTACCAGTCGTGCGTCGATCTCAGGTAAGCATCTGTCCAGTGGCAGTCGCGGTTTTCGTGTTGTGGCAGTGTTAATAAGACTGTGGCTGGCTCCCCCGTCTACGAAGATTTTAACTAAGTCTGTCCCAATTTTCCCACTGAGTAGTATAGGGCTGTCTACCGTTGTACCCTCCTTATTCGGCCGGGTGTGGTCGATTGCGTGAACCGGCACAATCACTCGGTGAGGGTCGGTTGGGTCGGGCGAGCGGCGTGACCTGTTAGTAGAGGGCCCGTCTGCTACTGACTCCCAGCGTTTCCCTGCTGCTTGGTCTGTTTCTGCTGCTCAGCTTCCCCCTTCCCCTTAGCGTTTTCAGGGCATTCGCTCTTGCGATGTCCCGGCCGATTGCACGCAAAGCAGCGCCCTTTGAACGGTGCGGCAGCGGCATTTGCGGCGACGGCGCGTATCGTGGCGCTCTCGTTCGTCCCACGAGGCCGATGTCCCCAGGTGTTGTTTCCGTAGGACCCCGGTCTCGGTCGGCGAAAGAAGTCGAGCTTCTCCGCCATAGCGAGAATCTCCTGAAATTCGGTGACGCCGCGAAGCTGGATTTCCTGAGCGATGTCTTGCTTCAGACCGCCGATGTAGCGGTCGGTGCACTCGCTCTCATGCATGTAGCCCACCTGCTCACATAGCGCTAGAAACCCGCTCGGGTAGTCCTGGACGGAACCGAGTTGGCGCCAAGTGCGGAGCTTCTGTCGCGCCGCGATCGAAGCCGCAATTGGCTCAAATCGAGCGCGCAGACCTGCGCACCACGCGTCCCACGTGCGATACTGGGGCACCTCCACGAAATACGACGGCGCCCAGGGTCCGGTTTGTCCTTCCCGTGTCGGTAGTGTCGCGTAGTCCATCGGCTTCGTGACGATGACGCGCCACCAGTCCATGGCGGGTCCTCGCAGCAGCGACACGGCGTATCGAATCTTCGCCGAGTCCTCGGAGACGTAGTTGGCGTCGAAGAAGACATTCATCGTGAACAACCACGCTTGAACGGTAGGACCACCCCGTTGACTCGGGTCAAAGCATGGCGGGCGCTGCGGCTTCAGCGGCATCGGTGACGGCAGTCCCGAATCGTGGGTTGGTGCCGAAATCGTGACGCGAGGCTGACTTGGGGCCGCATGTGTCGCTCTGGGGTGTGTCGCGCCGTGGTCGTCGTCTCCGTCGGGGCGGACGACGCCATCACTGGCCGCGCTCGTGAGTTGCCCCACACTCCCGTGTTGTGATGTCGAGGGTGCAGGTTGAATCGGAGTGCCAGGTGCTTGAGATTGTGCTTGTTGTGCCCTCGTGATGTCGTTTTGCAGTGATGAGCGTTCTGCCGTCAATGCCGCGATTTCCTCGGAGCTTTCGCGCAGTTGTCGCAGCAATTCGTCCAGACGCTCCTGCGTGAGAGTGGTGACGTCGATATTTTCAGCCATGACGAAAGGCGTCGGCTTGTCTTAGTCTAGGCGCAGTCGTGGCTGCACGCGTTTACGAGAGAACGCGAGGACAGCGGCTCCAAGTGGCTAAGGTGCGTACGTCCCTTCGAGTGAAAAATCAAAAGTTGATTTCCTGGTGTGCGGAGATGCGCGGTCTGAAAGAAAGGGGCTCTGAATACCAAGTGTTACGGGTGCAATGAATCGAAGTAGCGAGAATTGCAGTAAGGTGTCAAAACGAATACAAAATGTGAGCGAAGGCTTGAGCGAACATTTATACGCGAACATGCAAAACGGTAACGCGGTGCGTGCGAGCTAGCTAGTGCTGCGCTGGAGCGAGGCTCGGGCTAGTTTTGAAGCGTAGGCCGACGCGGCCATGCCAGCAGTGCGAGGTTTGGCAAAACAGTGCGCGCGAAGTCGGCAAAGTTCCGTTAACAGTAACGGGCGAACAACGGCTGTTGCTGTACGCGATGTAGTCGGGCTCCGTAAGGAATGTCGAGAAAATTCCTTACACCGTTGCATAAATTTCAGACAGACGATACAGTGGCAGCAACAAAAAGTAGGGGCAACGATATGATGGAAGACTTAGGGATTATCATGATTGTTGCAATTGTTCACACACAGCAACGCAGGCTTGGAATTGAAAGCCTGCTGTTTCTTTGGCATGTAGCGCACTCTGCCGCCAATATAACCTGTTTGAAGAGGTGTGTACACTAATGATATATATTTTGTTTGGAAGTACACAGGTAACGCATACTGGTCTAGTCGAAACTGAGCACTTAAAACATGTTCCCTCACCTTGCTTGTACTGCAGGGGGAGCTAACGAGTATGGATTTGGATCCACGAAACGCTGCGACACTGCATATCATGGCAGAATTTCACGCAGGCCCCCATCCAGTTCGTGCATTGCGATGGTAGCCACCGGCCAAGGCATGGCCTGCTCTTCGAAGCGCGAGCTGCCTAACCATGGCATGGCGCTCTGCGAGCTCGCCACATCAGCGCGCCCAGCTTGCTCTCGCTGCTGCCCCTCGAAGTTCACAACTCAGCTTCTCGTCTCCGTTCGTTCCTCGTTTCCACCTCGATCGAGCGAAGCTTCGATTCGACTTGGTCGCTTGGTCCTGGTTGATCGATCAGCCGTGTCGCTCGATGGAGCATAGCGCACCATATAACGACTCTCTCTCCAATCTTTCTGGATCCCTCATTCTTGACCTTTCCTTCCTCAGCAGATCCAAACCCGTTGGCACTTTTTTCGTTTATCTTTTCTCTCGACCTAGTAGCAGCACCTGCGGCTGTTTGTCTCCAGTTTTAGTGCTCTCGTAGTCCTATTTCTCACCCTCAGCGTCAGCGTCAGCGCCATGTATTCGCAGCAAAGCTACGGCATGTCGCACATGGGCAGCCAGCAGGGCTGGAGGACCAGGCAAGTCTCATTTCCTCCGTTTCCCGGTGTCGCCATTTCCCTGTCGCTTCTGCTAGCGACGGCGTGATTTCACGGCCTCGCTAGCAGCGTACCCATTCGAAAATTGTCACATAAACCTTCCTGTTCTCACGTCGCTCCCGCGCTAGGCTTGCTCTCTTCTGGCTTCGTACGCTCCTGTGGTTCCATGGCAGGGACATCGTGTTCACCATCGCGGGCCTTGGGATTGCCGCGACCATCGCCACCGTGACTGTGGTGGGCGGCGGAGCGGCGCTGCTCTTCTTCTCGCCCGTGTTGCTTTTCTTCTCGCCCATCCTCGTGCCGCTGCTGCTGCTCGGAGGTGCGCCCATGGGGGATTGGCTGTGCGTGGCTTGTGTTGATAGATCCTGTTTGTGGTTTGAAGAGGATGCAGGATTGGGCTGTTGATCGTCGAACCTGAATCGCATGTCGCGCAGACTTCACATGCTGCTCTTGGATGTTTGCTTTTGCTTCATTCCAGCATTGCTTGGTTGCATCCAGGAGCTGTCGCACCTGCTCTTTCTTCCCTACCTCCTCTCTCTTGACCCTCGTTTTGCCTGTGTCTTCCAGGCGGAGCACTGGCACTGGCCACAGCAGCTGTAGCCACGATAGCAACGCTCGTGTGGGGATGGAATTACTTCCGTGGGAAGCAGCCGTATGGCTCGGAGCAGGTGGATCGCTTGACTGGGGAGGTGAAAAGCGCTGCTGGTTATGTCACCCACAAGGTGGCTGATACAGCCCGGTCTATTGGAGAGACGGGTTATGGCACGGCTAGGGACACTGCTGGGACGGCGTATGGTGCTGCGAGGGACACTGTGACCGGCTCTGCTGGACAGGCATATGGTGGAGCCAGGAACACCGCTGCACAGGCTGTGGGCGGTGCGGGTACGAAGCCCACTTCAGCTGCTGCTTAGGGTGGTTGGTTGTACGATACGAAGGTCAGACGGTGGGATAATAGCAGATCTGATCATGTGAAAGTTGGGTGGTGGTGTATATTGGTTGTACATAGTATATAAAATGCTTACATTGTCAAGAGGGGATTCATGCAAAACTCTGTACGCCACTGCTTCATGCAGAAATCATTATAGAAACTACACGACTGAAGGTATTTCATATTTCTACTAATGTCCTTGGAGGTACAATTAATTTCCTTCTGTAGCCTACCAGAATATTATAATTTTTAAACACATTGATGTTTTTCAAAATTGTGTATTGTGAAAGCGAAGCTGACTGTACCGAATATTTGGCAGTGTCGAAGCGCGCTAAACGCCCTTCTCCAACTACAAAAACCGTGGGTTGGAGTTCATTCCCTCCACCCACGTTTAAGGACAGTTGCAATGAGAACGATGCCAAATTATAAGGACAAGAAAGCAAGCTTTCTCAATACTCCTCTTTTAGATGTCTCGTTCTCACATGTACTGGTATTAGAAGGTGAGTTTGAAACGCAAATTAAATATCCGATCAAACATACCTGTCACAATTCGAAGTTCTCAACTTAGCAATTAGTGAGGGGGGGTTAATGCCCTGAGTTTTTTTTCGGGCTCTTTTTTTTCCTCTTTTGTGTGACCATTATTTTTTCCCCCATTTTTTTCCTGAAAAATGTCAGCCATCAACACAGTAGCTAGGCCTCTCTACCAGTGGCAGCAGCAGCTGTAGCAGTCTTCCAGTCACCATCCAATGCCCCATGCATCTGCAGCTCTACATTGCACTCACACGCCCTAGTCTCCTTGAGCAAGCAGCAAGTGCCCACCCTTCCAACCCCTCCCATATAAAGAGTGCCACACCACACGGATCCACCCTGAAGCAGTGACAGCCACGAAATCAGTCAGTACAGCCAAGCCCACAGCCCGCAAGTCGATACTGTCCCGTCCACCATGGAACACTTTTTCTGGCTCCATGTAACTACACCACACGGGGTGATGGGTGTGAGGATAGGCTTCTCAGTAGTACGGGCGGTAGCGGAAGGGACGGCGGAAGCGAGGCGCCCTCCTGCGCGCACAGCGAGGAAAGGAAGGGGGAGAGGGGGGGCAACGCGGGGAAGGGAAAGGGAGAAGAAAAACAAGCACCATAGGGGGCGGTGGGGGGGTGGTAATGCAAAAGAGATCTGAGAAATCACGTCTTCGGTAACATAAAGAACCCAGTACTGGGCGGGAACAGATCCCAGAGGCAGTCCAGGAAGCCTAATAGATCTTTGACCACGCCAAGAAGTGATGCTTGTGTGCGGTTCAGCAGCCGTAAGTCCAGAGCAGCGGGCAGCGCTAGCAAGAACAGCAGCGCTGCGTGAGCACATACCCATAGCCGCCTGGTCCTCCCGGGCGGAAGGGACGGTAGCCGGGGCGGCGGAATCTGTGCGCCTTCATGCCAGGCACGTTGGTGCGCTTCGCCACCACCTGAAGGCGGGACGGGGAGATGGAAAAGGGATTACGGAAGCGGAGGAGAAAGGCATTGGGCAAAATTGCAAGGTGGAAAAAACAACCGCCAGTTCCGCTGGCCACACACCCCCCTTTCATCCTCACCACACGTCACATACCTTGACCTCTTAAGAACATCACACCCCCCCGGCCCCTTCCACGCGCTTGACCCTCGCCACTACGCCCCAGACCCGATGTAACGTACCCCGCGTCACGGCGTGCGGCTAATCCCGAGCTACCCCGGCGCACCGTACCTTGAGCGGCCGGCCGTGCAGCTCCGACTCGTTGAGCAGCACGGCGTTCTGCACCGCGTCGACCTCCAAAAACTCAACGTACGCGAACCTGCGCGGCGGCCGCGCGGGAGACGGGAACGGAGGATGGGGCCGGGAAAAAAAAGGGGGTCGGGGGGAGGGGGGAGAGGGATAGATTTGGGGTTTATCGTTCTGGATAGATTAGGGATTAGGTATTAGGGATAGATTGTGGATAGATTAGTAGAAAGACAAAACGAAACGACATTTGTAGCGGGGAGATATCGTTCTGGTCCAGCTGGTCATGTTCCAACAAGACGAGATCGGGAAACCCTAGCGCGGAAGCTGGACAAAATGGCGATGGTTAGCGCGGGACTGACCCTTTAGGTTGGCCGTATCGGTCGGTGAGGATGGTAACGCGGTTGACGGTGCCGCACGACTGGAAGTGCTGCTGCACCTCCTCGGGCGTGCACGCGTAATCCACCTGCGCACACGCACGGGACACACGCACGAGTATGCACAAAGGCTTCTGTGCGTGTTCTTGCGACGCCTAGACACCGCAGTGCCCAAAACGATGCCTACTACGACGACGACGACGGCACCCGGGGAGACGGGGCGACGTTTGCGATTGTCGCCGCCCGTACTGCGATAACGCCACGTCGACGAGCAGGTAAGAAACACAACGGAATCGCGATAGCGTCCCGAAAAGGATTACAGCGAAGGGATGATCTAGATGAGAAATACGTACGTTTCCGACGAACACGGATCGAGCGTCGGCCTCCTCCCTGCTGGCTTGAGAGACGGCGTTGGGGTCACCTCCCTCTGCCATGGGGGTCCACGGGATGAATCATGGAAGCCAGGGATAATAAGCAGTAAGCCCTTTCTCCCTCATGTGTTGAATAGCACGGTGTTTTCGACGGTTTTTTCAAGAAGGCGAAGAGGCATGAACGAGTTGCGAAAGGGATGAAGGAAGCGCGCGGGATGTAATACGATGGTGTTAAAGCGCGAGCTCACCTGGAACTGCGCCCATCTCTTTCTCGACCCGGGCTTGCATCTCGCGCAACGCAGCCGCCTCTTCCTCCATCTCCCTTAACCGCTTCTTCATCTCCTCCAACTCCTGTCGACGCACACCACCCGCGCGACAGCCACGACACGGGTCAACCCGGGTTGGCGACGAGAAGAAGAAAAGAAAAGAAGAGAAAAGAAAACACAATCAGAGTTGTACTACAAAAGGCAAAAAGAAGGCAAAGAGCAAAACGTGATGAAAACGAATCAGGGGAGGCGGCGCAAGCGCGGGGAGGAAGCAGCCGCACCTTTGCCGCGGCATCTTCTCCGCCCTCGCCGCCTGTTGCCGCTCCAGCTGCTGCGCCAGACGCCCCGCCTGATGATCCAGCGCCATCTGCGGCAGCAGCAGCGGTGGCTCCCGTAGCGCCTTCGCCTTCCTCCCCAGTCCCTTCCAAATCCCCCTCATACTCGCCCTCCGCCTCCTCGGGAATGTCGCCGCCGTACACCTCGTGCTCCTCTGCCTCGTCGGCCATGAGCGCGAACCAAAGCGACGGTTTGAGTGGTGCGCTTGAGTGTGCGAAAATTGTACGGAAAACGGCGATAACTACAGATCGCGGATACTGCGCAACACAGAAAAGCAGAACGGCGACAAATAATTGCTGGGAGTGAGATGCTGTGTGGTATGGCTTTCTCTTGGGTTGGCTCTTGTAATTCGTCTGAAACCTGGATGCGCTCACGACTGGCCTCCATACCAGAGAAGACAGAGCTGCGGCGGGGGTTGGGGCAAGTGTGGGGGGAACAATCACAGCGGGCAGTAAAATGAAGTTGCGCTTGCGCGCGGGTAAGGGGAAAGGTCAAGCAAGATCAGGTCAGCTGGTTGGCTCGCCTGGGGAGGAAGACTGGCCAGTAGGACCCGAATTCCGAACGCCCGCGGACTAAACCCCCGGCTGGCGGGGGCTGGTGTCGGGAATTGTGGGGTTGAGCTTCGCTCGCAAGGGCTTAGGGTATGGTGATGTGGCTGAAACCCCTGAAAAACTGGAGAAATCAGCGGGCTGAAACGGCGAAGCGCCGAAGTAGGTCTCCCGCATAAGCAGCTCCCCGTGATTGTGTAAAACATAGTTTCTGTTTTAACCGAGTCTATGGATTATAGTCCACAATAAAATGACTTACAAGAGTTTTGCCCTTTACATCTTTGTATAGAATGACATCATGTCTGCAAGTTCAAATGCCTTTTTTCTACTCGTGATTAGAATGTGCTGGTTGATCTTGGACGTCAATTTGGGATCTCTTTTGTGCAATCAGCAATTAGCAGCTCTGCTCTTGCAGCCAACCAAGGTGGAGACATCATTCTTTCGAAGGTAAATACTCTTCCACTAGCCCCCCCCATCCGCTACCTCCCATACAACAGACACCAGCAGAAGCACATGATCCCAGCGCCCACATCCGTTACCTCCCCCTCTTCCGCGCCACGTCCGCTCGTGCGCGTGCCATGCCAGTGACGAAGCGCCCGCTGACGACCGCCGTGGCCGTGGTGGCGCTGAACGCGGCGCTTTGGTGCTCCGCGAATTCCGCCTACGACTTCGTCTGCGACTTGCCGTACTGGCAGCGCCAGGTCCGTGCTTCCTTGCTCGCACGCGTCGTGTTCGTCGTCGTCGTCGCCGCCGCCGTCGTCGTCGTCGTCGTCGTCGTCGTCGTCGTCGTCGTCGTCGTCGTTGTCGACTAATCTACCCTATTAAACAGCACTGATCAGACTCTGTCGCGACGCGAATCCAAGCGCCTCCGATATCGCACTCGGTCTTTCGCATCCGATGCTGGCCGTTGCGAGTCTCGCTTCGAGCCGCACCCGATGCAGCACAGGTCTCCGATCTCTTATCTCCCGTCTCCCCCGTCTCCCCCGTCTCCCCCGTCTCCCCCGTCGCCCCCGTCTCCCCCGTCTCCCCCGTCGCCCCCGTCTCCCCCGTCTCCCCCGGTCTCACCCGTCTTCCCAACCCCCCTCTCTTTCCTCCCCCACGTGTCGCTCTCTCCCGGTCAGAGGGAGCGCCGCCGGCAAGAGCGGGAGCTACAGCTGCAGCTTGAGAAGCAGAGGGGGGAGCGCCTACAACCGGCGGCGCAGCAGCAGGGATAGCAGCGGCACCAACGGACAGTGCACCTAGGGTCGGGGTGGACAGCAGCAGTGCAGTGCAGTGGCGGAAAGAGGACGAGCTGGTAGAGCAGGAGGAGAGGGGCTGGCAGCAGGGCAGTAGGTGGATGAATCATGAACAGTAGCTGCACGCACCGAAACGCTTGACGCTCCTTCTCACGAGAGATTGCACAATTGTCTATCTGATTCTCTCCCTTTTTGGGTTGCTCCGGGTTGCACCAGCTTGGCTCAGGTAGCTCGGTTGCTTCAGGGTTGCTCGTACGCTCTGGTATCTCTCAACTTCGCCCCAGAGGAGTTTGGAGTGGTGCAGAGGAGTGCAGAGAAGAGAGTGTTTGCGGTGGGAGAGGTGGCGCGGGGCTGTGTCATGAGGGCTTGGCGCGCAGCTGCCCCTGTGGATGTGACCTGCAAGGCTGTGCCTCCCACACGCGCTAGTGGCCGCCACTCAGGCTCCTCGTGAGGTGAGGTGAGGTAAGGTGAGGTAAGGTGAGGTAAGGTGAGGTGAGGTGAGATGGGGTGGGGTGGGGTGAGGTGAGGTGAGGTGAGGTGAGGTGAGGTGAGATGGGATGGGGTGGGGTGAGGTGAGGTGAGGTGAGGTGAGGTGAGGTGAGGTGAGGTGAGGTGAGGTAGTAGGATGAACGTGCGACGCTTGTAGCATCTATCCGAGCCGTCTAAAAGTGCACCTGCGATTTTCTCCAGTTCCTTTCTGTGTGCCGTTATGCTTGCACCGTGCCTCACTCAGGCTCTTCTGCTTGTGTCCTGTGAAAAAAGGAGTGTTCTGAGACGTCTCAAAACACTCCTTTTTTCACGTGTCCTGCCTCCCACCTACTCGTCCCTCATTCCGCTCCTGCTCTTACCTCCCATCATATGCACTGCACCACATGCATCACTGCACATCCATTACCCCTTCCCAATACCACATGTCCATTCTTCCACTCCTTCTCCCCGCTCATACGCTCGCTTCTCCCCTCCGCCACCTTCCTTCTCCCACCCCTTTCCCCCTTCCCCCCTCCCTCCCTCCCCCCTCCCGGCTCCTCTCCCCGTCCCGCAGCTGTACTTCCTCTCCGCCCACGCGCCCTTCCCCCCTTCCCCCAATGCCCCTCGGCCTCTCCCCCTACCGCGCGGCGCTGCTGCAGAGGCTGCTGCAGCGGGCGCGCGCCTACGTGCGCCACGACCTGCGCGAAATCGTCTGGCCCTCCTCGCTCCCCGACCCGCCCTCCTCCCTCCCGCCCCCGCGCCGCCTCACCTTGCACGAGCACCGCCAGGTGGGATAGGGTGGCGGGACTGGTGGGGGAACTGGTGGGGGGGAGCTGGGGAGGGAGTGGGGGAGGGGGGGGGGGGGGACTGGGGGGGTGAAATGGTTGAGGGAAAGTAGTCAGGTAAGGATAACCTCGGTCTGCAGAAGGCGAGGGAAGCAGGAGAGGAGGAAAGGCAAGGCTGATGAGGGTGGTTTGCAGTTGCATCTATCCCCGATCCACCCGCCATACCACCCTCCCAGCCTCTCTTTCTCTGCACGTGAATGAGCCCTACCCCTCTCTCACCCATCACACGTTTCACCTCCCATACCCTTCCCTCCTCCCGTATCCTTCCTCCTCCCATAACCTTAATCCTCTCATACCCTCCCTCCTCCCATACCCTCCTCTTCTCGAACGGTCCTTCGTATTAATATCGTCAAGGAGCAGACATGGGTGCTAAGCTAGTCTTAACAATCACATGGTAGACAAGCAAACCAACAACCAAACACACAACGGGACCGCTGCTCATCCCTCCTCTACCCCTCCCTCCCCACGGCCCTACTGGCCTGTGGGGTCTTCCAGCAGCTGGTACAGCTGCTCCTCCCCCAGGCTGCCAAACGGGCCCTGCAGGCCGAGCTCATCCGCGGCAATGGCCTCGTGGGTCTTGTCGCGGAGGGCGTTGGCCTGGGCGCGCTGGAGTGTCACACTCCAGCGCTGCCGGTACTCCATGAGGAGTCTGGCCACCTCCCTTGATTTCGGCGCGGCGTTGAATCGCCGTTTGCCCGCGAGCTCAGCGCAGCTGCGAAGGAAGGCGTGCACTCCCGGGGACGGGTAACCGTACGTCTCGACTGCCATGGCATGAAAGCCTACCCACGCGTTCCGCCGCGCGTACTTGTCCTCCTTCTTGGCCGCTTGCATTCTTGCAGCCCACCCTGGCGCCTTCCGCGCAAGCTCATCCTGGTGGGAGACCGGGTCCGTGACGGTGATGTCGCACATGTGAACCTCGCCGGTGTTGGGATGGCGGATGCAAACATCCGCTTTGAGGTTTTCAACCGGTGAGTATACAGTAGACTCCTTGTGCACCGTGTAGCCCGCCTCCGCTGCGATCTTTGCACACTCATCACGAAGGGCGTGGTGAGTGGCAATCCTCCCCCCGCCCTTCTCGCAACGCATAAGGTGGTTGGGAAGGCGGTGGTCAGGGAAGGTCGTGCGGTAGCGGCAGTCGCAACGCTGTGGGATGGGAAGGGGGAGGCCTAGGCGGAAGGAGGACGCGGTGGAGTGCTGCGACGGGCCTAGCCGAAGGGCCGGGATCAGCGGGATGGCTAGCAGCCAATCTCCTGCCCCAGGGCCGAGGAGAGACTGCAGGCGTTGTGTATGGCCGAAGAGCGGGTTCAGGGGCATCTCCCGCGAGGCATCGAGCAGCTCAATGTAACGAGCGGTATGGACGGCCAGCGACAAGGCCTGCTGTAGCTTCGGTCCCTCAGGGTCGCGCCGGCCGACCTGCAGAGCTTCAAGACCGTCCGGCGGCAGCTCAGCTTCAGCTGCAGCAAGGCGCCTTGGCAGGACCGAGGGTGAGTCCGCGGCCGTGTCCATCAGCGGCAGCATAAGGGCGATGGCGGGGTGCACCGTGTCGCCGAACGAGTGCAGCAGGTGAGCAGAGGAAATGACCGAGGCCAGGTATGCGAACGCCCCTTCCTCTCATACCCTCCCTCCTCCCATACCCTCCTCTTCTCTCTCTCGTTCTGTGTCGTCCACACGGCACCTCCATTATCAGGTGCTGGCAGCAGCATGGCCGGCGTATGCAGAGAGCTGGAGGGGGAAGTTCAATCGCGGCACAGCACCCCCGCGAGTTTTGAAGCGCCTCAAAAGTCCTCTGTGTGTGTCTTTCTGTTCCACTCGCACCTCCATGTGCAGATACTGGCAGCAGCATGGGAAGCGTATGCGGAGAGCTGGAGGGCGGAGTTCAACCGCGGCAAAGCAGCCCCGCGACCAGAGGAGGGGGATGGGGAGGCGCACGTGGGGGTGGAGGAGATTGGGGAGGAGGAGAGGCGGAGGAGGGAGGCGGGAGGAGGTGATTCGGGGTCCAATGGCACATTGGTGGAAGAACTAGGTGGGTTCTGCTTGTGTGTCGCGTGTCCGTGTCGTTTGCATGTCCAGGGCATGTGGGTGTGTGGTTGTGTGGGTGTGTGGGTGTGTGGGTGTGTGATCCTGTGTGGGATGCATGCAGGTATAACAACCAAAGCTTCTTGCGTCCCCTCGCGTAATGATCCTTATGTGCATGCTCATCAGAAACCAAAGCCGTCGGCCTCTCTTCCACTTCACAACCACCACCACAACACCGTCACCTCACCTGCACTCTTCCCATTCCTTCCCCTCTCACCTCTCACCTCTCACCTCTCACCCCTCACCCAGACCATTCCCCACCCCACCCGCTCTTCCCTCCTGCCCGTCAGGCGGAGCGGGCAAGGCGGGGGCGAGGGCTCTCCTGCCATGGCTGCAGCAGCGGTACGTGGAGCGAGTGGCAGCCTATGCTGACTCCCTCAAGCAGTTTGTGCTCGGCTACCGTGAGGGCTTTGCCCAAGCCTCCTCCTCCTCCGCCGCCGCCTCAGACTCCTCCTCTGCCTCATCCTCCCCTTCCTCCTCCTCCACCTTCACTCCCCTGTCTCCTGATGCTCCTCCGGAGCAGCCCGCTCAGGATACCCTTTCTGCTGCCGCCGCCGCCGCTGCTGCCAACCCTGCTTCTCACCCTGCCACCGCCACCCTTTGCCCTCCAACTGCCCCTCCACCTCCTGCATCTTATGCCTCTGCTTCTGCTGCTCCATCTGTAATCATGCCACCATCCACCACAAGTGACACTGCTGCCCATTCAGAGCATGTTGCTGCAGCTGCTGTTCCTCATTCGCTCTCTTACGAACCACCTGAGGCCGCACCACCTGAGGAGGCACCTGGGGAGAAGGCTGCTGAGGAACTTGGGAAAGGGACAAGAAGCAACTTGTGAAAGCAGCCTGGGTTGGAAGGAAGGATCTAGAGGAGCTTTGGCACAGTCGTTGGGCTGTGGTAAGGACGCCATATAAAGAAACCTGCAGTGCGGGCTAGGATTCTTTTCTTTTTTTTTTTTTCCCATGAAAGAGATGTTGCTGTGCATGACTCGAGAGATGCATTTTTTACACATCTACCTCTTAGGGACTATTGGTACCAAATGCAGTTTTCCCCTATTATGCTAATATGCAGACAGACCTGTCAAGCCATTCATCTGAACCGCAAACAAGAAACCCTACGTGTTTATTACGCCAAGGCACCCAGCATATACAGAAAGAAACGAAACCTACATATTCCAATCTAAACTACCTAAATGTAGCCACTTCGAAAAGCTAAACTAACAAACACGTTCCATCATTTGGTTAAGAAAGAAAAGGGGGGATAAATTATGACGGTACTGTATCTAATAGCGGGGGGAGCAAGCATCGGCACAGCCCAGCCAAAATGATAGAGGGAACAGTTGTGCATGCATGGCAAGGCACGTTAGAGACAAATTAAAGGAACAAAACTACTAAGAGACTGCTAATGAACATCAGATTTGGAAAGACAAAATGATGCAGGGTGACAGCGAAGGGGACAACTAGTGAGCGCAGCACACGCAAGCATGCAGACAACTCTATATTAACCTGCCTAGTAACACACAAGGAAACAAATATGCGTGTGTGTGTGTGTGCATGAGTGTGCGAGTGGGTGGTTGGAGAGGTGGGTGGGTGGGTGGACATGTGCTCGTGCACATGCTCATGCTATAACAGCTGTGCATCTGCCCGTTTTCCCAGAGCCGTCAGGCGTAAGGGGCACACAGCAGCAGGGAGCAGCAGGCAGAGCAGCACGCGGGCTGGAAGGAGGCGCAGCAACAGCGGTGGCGGTGACAACAGCAGCAGCAGCAGCAGCAACAGCAGCACAAGCCGCATATAGCAGCGGTAGTGGCGGCAGTGCAGCGGCTGCAGCTGCGGCTGCGGCGGAAGCAGCGGCATAGGCCAAAGGGAGTGAGCGCGCCATAGAGCCATAGAGCAAGGGCAGAACCGCAGCAGCCTGCGATTGTGATGGTTACAGCAGGTAGGGCAGCGGAGCAGGCAGAGCAAGCAGGGTGGCGCACAGGCAAGGGCAAGAGCAACGGCAAGAGGTGTGCTGCGCATGAGCGCGAATAGGCATGGTTACTGGAACAGGCAGCAATGGAAAACATACTTGGAATGGGCTGGCAAAGAAAGTGCAGGGCGAGCGAATACAAGTGTGAAAACAAGTGAAAGCGTGGGTCATGATGGGGTGGGTTTCAACCAGGAAGGAATTGAGATTGGTATGGGCAGAAAAACGGGCAGTGGAGCTTGCATAAGGCGCGGCATGAGAATAGCAGGAAAAATAGCAAAAGGGAGAGACGGTAACAAAGAGACAACTAGACTAAAGAGGAGCTGAGGAGCAGGAGAGTGTGAGAATGGAAGACAAGCGGGAAAGAGAATTACAGGTCAAGACGGCAGGAACAGGAGGGGCACAGAAAGCAGAACAATAGAAGAGGAAGCTTCGGAGATGAAAGGGCGACAAGGAAAGCTGGGGGGAAGGGGAAGTGGAAGGACAGTGGAAGGGGAGAGGAAAAGAGAGCGAGGAGGGAAAAGAAGGAAGGGGACAGGGATCGTCTAGTATCTGAGAATTACAAGTGGCGGTTGCTGTGAGTGTAGTCGTTGAAGTGTGTTACATCTCCCCTCCACTGGGCTTGGGCGGGTGGTAAAAGCGGCAGTTCTCCCTCTCACACTTGTTACGCGCAGCGTCACGACACAGTGTCACATGGCCGTCCACCACCTGACATGCAGGCGATTAGGGACGGTGGGAAGAAGGGAGGGAGAGAGGGAAGGGGGCAGGGACGGGTGACGAACACTGGCATTCAGGAACAGAATGATTGTTGAAGGAAAGGAAAAGTCGAATTTTTAGTCGACTCAAAAATCGACTTATCACACTGGCATTCAGGAACAGAATGCTTGTTGAAGGAAGGGATAACGAGTTGCGATGACCAACTAAACATCAACCCTTGCTTGTCCCACTCTCACAAATTCTTTCCCCAACCCTCTCCCTCCCTGTCTTTACTCGCCCTCCCTCCTTCCCTACACCCAGCATCCACCCAACCGGCCAGCAAGCCACTAAGGCACAAGTCACAGCCCCCCAGCGTGCATGGGAGGAGGCGCAGTGCGAGCAGTGCACCTGCACGTGCTCGTCGGGGTGCACGTAGCGGCACGCCCCGCCCCAGCCACACCCCCCCCAGCCACAGCCCCCGCAGACCACAAAACGCCCTGGGTGTGGGGGACGAGGCACGCACCTGCACGTGCTCGTCGGGGTGCACGTAGCGGCACGCCCCGCGCACACACTTGCCGTTTATAAAGTCCCGACACACTGGCAGCCGGTCCTGCGCCACTGCCGCTCCTGGGGACACGTGGGGGGAGGGGTGGGTGGGAAATGGGGGGAGTGGGTGGAGTAGGGAGAGTGGGGGGATTGGGGGAGAGTGGGGGAGGCGGAAGGGACGAAATCACAGGGCACAGTATGGCACAGGACGGGATGGGACGAGACGGGATGGGAAGGGATGGGACGGGACAGAACTGCAAGAAGGGAGGAGCGCCAGGACGACATGGGGAGAGTGGAACGGGAAAGAATGGAAGGGAAGACTTGGGACCGGGGACGACCAAGAGAAGCTAACAAGGAAAAGGGTGGCAGGGGGTCAATTTGACAGAGGGGGGAAGGGGACGCTGACGAGCGAAAAGGAAGCGACAAGAAGAACTGAGGGCGGTAAATAAGAGGAACGGAGACAGGGGGGCATAGGCGGATGTGGGCCGCAAAAAAGGGAGAATGGAAGGATACGAAGGAAACTAAGGGAGAGACGGAAAGAAAGACTGGAGGGAGGAGGCGCTGGGAGGAAGGAAGGGGAGGGGAGTGGGAGAGGGAGAGAGCAGAGGGAACGAGAGGAACAGGCAGGTAGAGAGGAAAGTGCGTGCGCATAGGGTAGGGAGCGGGGCGCACGTGGGTGTTGGCCGGGATAGAAAGGCGCAGGGAGGTAGCCGCCACCCATGGGCAGCTGGTGCATGGCTGGTGACCCGTACATGGGCGGAAGCGCGGAGTAGTAGGGCATCTGACACATGGAGGAGGCGCGGAGGGGAGGAGGGGGAGGGGAATCGAGGGAATAGAAGGGATTGAGCGGTGGTCGGAGGGGGGAGGGGAGGGGAGGGGAGGGGAGGGGAGAAACGGATGGAGAGGTAGGGGGTTTAGGTGGAGAGAGAAAGATGTTTGGACGAGCGTGCGCAGTGGGAAAGGGGAGAAGGGCAGTGCGAGAGAGGGATGCTTGAGGAAAGAGCGACTGTGGGACAGGGTGTGCATGAAGTGTGGGAAGGAAGGGAGAGGGGAAGGGAGGGAGGGGGGGGGAGAAGTGGATCGAAGAAGGTGGGAGGAGGAAATGTGGGGACAGGGCGACGAGGAAGCAGGTGGGCAGTGTAAGGGGGTGAGAGGGGCAGGGCAGGCAGGGAGGAGGGGACGAGCGGACGAGGGGAGGAGGGGAGGGGGTGACGGGGAAGGGAGCGGGGCAACGGACCGCCACGTCTAGGCCAGACTTGCGCACTCTGTCATCGTCCCCGCCTAGAGATGCCACCGCTGCTGCATTGCCCGCTCCCGGCGCCCCTCCCTCCTCCATCCTCATTCTCTTGGCCGCCGCTGCCTGCATGCACGCCCATGCATGCGACACATGCGCGCATACACACACATACACATGCACATGCACGCATTCACACACATTTCCCCCCCACCCCTCCCCATCGCCCCCCAATGCCCACCCACCCACACATGCACACATACACAGGCATCACGGCATGCCATGATGAATGCGCTTGCTGGGTTTTGAGTCGACTCAAAAGTCAACATACACAGGCATCACGGCATGGCACAATGAATGCGCTTGCTGGGTCACGTACGTACCCCACGTCTGCACGACACCAGGAAAGCGGCTGTGCACACAGAGCATGCGCGGCATATGGCATGCGCGGCATATGGCATGCGCGACATATGGCATGCGCGGCATATGGCATGCGCGGCATATGGCATGCGCGGCATATGGCATGCGCGGCATATGGTATGCGCGGCATATGGCATGCGCGGCATATGGCATGCGCGGCATATGGCATGCGCGGCATATGGCATGCGCGGCATATGGCATGCGCGGCATATGGCATGCGCGGCATATGGCATGCGCGGCATATGGCATGCGCGGCATATGGCATGCGCGGCATATGGCATGCGCGGCATATGGCATGCGCGGCATATGGCATGCGCGGCATATGGCATGCGCGGCATATGGCATGCGCGGCATATGGCATGCGCGGCATATGGCATGCGCGGCATATGGCAATGCGCGGCATATGGCATGCGCGGCATATGGCATGCGCGGCATATGGCATGCGCGGCATATGGCATGCGCGGCATATGGCATGCGCGGCATATGGCATGCGCGGCATATGGCATGCGCGGCATATGGCATGCGCGGCATATGGCATGCGCGGCATATGGCATGCGCGGCATATGGCATGCGCGGCATATGGCATGCGCGGCATATGGCATGCGCGGCATATGGCATGCGCGGCATATGGCATGCGCGGCATATGGCATGCGCGGCATATGGCATGCGCGGCATATGGCATGCGCGGCATATGGCATGCGCGGCATATGGCATGCGCGGCATATGGCATGCGCGGCATATGGCATGCGCGGCATATGGCATGCGCGGCATATGGCATGCGCGGCATATGGCATGCGCGGCATATGGCATGCGCGGCATATGGCATGCGCGGCATATGGCATGCGCGGCATATGGCATGCGCGGCATATGGCATGCGCGGCATATGGCATGCGCGGCATATGGCATGCGCGGCATATGGCATGCGCGGCATATGGCATGCGCGGCATATGGCATGCGCGGCATATGGCATGCGCGGCATA